ATCCATGCATTCACCATCTGCCTCAAGTTTTCAGGGTGGGGAAGGTAGTTAATAGAGATTCCTGGATCCATTGCAGACCTCCCGAAACAGAATGTCTGAGAGTAGGGCCATCTCCAAAACTTCAGTCATCCCTAACTCATTATTTTAATTTCCTCATTGTAAAGGTTTAACGTGTACCTGCCAAGGGGGATCTGCAGGAGAGACCATAATGCTGGGTTTATGAAGGCACTGAATGTGAATGCTATTTTCTTAATTTTCTAACCAATTTTGTTGGATTGGACTACAGTAAAATGAAAGACATTGCTTTTTGGAGATTGGGTGGTTGCTACTTATTTAATAAATAGAGAAAATAACAATTTTAATTGCCCTATAATTTGTAGTCTAGACTTTCACAGAAATGAAGGCCACATAACTCTGGCTATGGGATTTAGTGATTGGTGGAATGTTTGGAATCTTTACACTAGACCTAGACCGTCCTAAAGAAGTTGGCTGTCCTGGTATCCTTAATTCTGTGATACAATTTGTTAAACTGATTTGCCTTTTTGAGTTATACTAGAGCTTAGGGCTTTCAAATTATCCTGTCCTACAGGAGATATTGATCTATTTTTTCTTCTAAAAGACAATCATGGTGAGCCATTTTTAGCTTTCCTTGGAAGTAATTGATAATAAATTAACCAAATTAGTCATATTTCTCCATGATGACATAGAGCTTATGAACCTCAAGGCCTTACAGTAATATTTCATATTAACCTAAAACAGTGTATAGTTCTCAAACTTACATTGGACATTGCTTTGGCTACCTATATTCTTGACCAATGATCAATTAAAAAATACTAATGAAGTTGATTACAGAATACCATCCTTCTTAGAAAAGTTACCAGAAGGAAGTACTGTGCCTGAGCAGAATTAACATGAATGGCAGTTTTATTAGACATTCATCAGCTATTTTCTCAATATATACCTTTTTTTTTTTTTCTCTAAAGAATGTGCTTGGCCAACTTGCATAATCTGAAGGCATAAGAAATAACTTTGGTAAAGTGCTGGGATTCTGACACTTTTTAATAGCTGACAATAGCTATCAACTAGTTGCTTGCAAAACATTCTCAAATGATTTTCAATAGGACATAGGAGGCCACAAAAATTAAATCACTGGCACTGAGTAGAAATAGCCACAAGGTTATTGCCCCACTGGCAAAACATTTCCCCTTTTTTAAGCTGACACATTCTCTCAAAGTATTATAAATAGACTTAGTCTTCTAGAGCAACCTACAAAAAATGTCTTTAACTTACCTGAATAATAGTGCTGTTTCACCTCTGTTTATCTTGACTTGGTTGGGGAAAATGTATTACTATGATAATAGAAGACGCCCAATTGAATTCTCTTTCCTTTTTGTTGAAAGAACCTTTCCAGTCAAGGGCATTGAAAATGGGTAAACCTTCATGAACCTAAATATCTTGTATAAAGTATCTCTCAAGGTCTTTTTTTTCTTGGAGGTTCTGAATTGTGGCATAGAGAGATATTGGTTCTCTGCAGGGATAGGAAATCCAAATTACTGCTGTCTTCTATTTGCTTATATGAGTCATTTGTGAATTGAGTCAGGTGCTTTTTATACCAATGTAGAGGAGAAATAACACACTTTGTATAGTTTTATACAGCATTCAACAGAGGTTATGTGCACAGACTAAGCTCTTTGAAGGCTTATTTTCATTTATATTTCCAGCACTTAGCACGGTGCCGCAAACATAAAAGATGTTGTATGTGTTGAATGCATGAATAATTATGACCTTCCTGAAGAGTCTAAATTCTGCATGGTCTTTTCGAGATTGTGGTAATTTGATATATATGTTATTTTTATAGTAATTTAAAAATTGAATCATGAACTTTATAGCAATAAGCTCTTTTAGATATTTTGCTTTCTAATGTGAGAGATAATACATATTCTGAAACTTTAAGTGGGATAGCCTAGTTGTCTGCCTTAAACCCACAATAAGACAATTGTTTCTGGTGCAGTGGAAAAATTAGCACAATAAAGATTGCCTAATTGAATTACATTGCCAAAAAACAAACTATAATTTTCCAAGTTTAAAAAAAACTCTAAATCACAACATTAAGGGATTGTTTCTATTTTAAAATAAGAACGCTCTTTCTTTTGGCCTTAACTGTAAACTCTACTTTTCCCTAATTTTACCCTCATGTGCCACAGTAGGAGTACCTATAGTCTAATACTTAGAAGTGTTGTAACTGAGTGAGTCAGAAGGAAAGCGCCATGTCCTGAGTTCCAAATTAAGAGTCCTTTATTTGCTAGTGACTGAGAGATGGCTAACACTCAAAATTCTCTCAGCCCGAGGAAGGGGCTTGATTCCCCTTTACACCTTGATTTCCCTTTATACCTTGATTTAGGTAGGGGAGGGGGAACCTAGCTGAAGTGGAATTTTACAGAAGCAGAATGAGCAGGTTAGAGGGACATAGTTACAGACCAGGGTATTTTCCAAACAATCACCAAGGGGGGTGCCAAGGAGAATTAAACACAATAACAGGTGTATTTGCTAAGTAGGATGTAGTTACAACGGTTATATGGTAGGATAAGCACAGGGTCAGCGTGACATAAGCACAGCATTGGTGTGGCCCAGTTATGCACCTGAGGGGAATGTGGTAGGGAGGGAGAGGCAAAAATGGGGCTTGTCAGGCTCACAGCTGAGATGGAGTCAGTTAGGCTAGCACAAGTTAGGTTATTACAGGAGCATGGGTTTTGGAACTCAGAACTGAACTCAGGCTCCACTGTGCCACTTACTCCTGTGTGATATTGGTCAAACTACTTAAACACTCCAAGAAATCTGTTTTTCTCATTGTAAAATGAGGACAATAAAGGATCCTGTGATGTTTAAGTGAACTAATAATGTCTGTAAAGCATTTCAGCATACAGAAATGTTTAATACATGTTAGTTGTCATATACATTGCATCTTTCTGCCTCTTTCATTCATGTTGATGTTTTCCCCCAGGCTTCCTAGCTACTTTTTAAAGACTGAATTTCTTTATGGTTTTTTTCCCATCTCTTACTCTCATCCAAGTTTCCGTAATAATCCACTACTGCACTCACCGTGTATTATGGTTCCATGTTTGTCTACCTTCTATAATAGATCATGAATTCTTCAAAGGCAAAGAGTATGTTTGTATTTTTCTCAGCTCCTACTACAGGATTTGCCACATGGTGTTTAATAGAGTATTTGTTAAATTGCTAATTGACTTGTACATGGAACTCTTCTATAAATTGTGCAATGTTAATCAAATGATAATGCTATTTTAGGACTTAATATATGCCTATTAGGAAGTAATTATTTGGTGTTTAAGTACAGAATATTAGACTGTTACCACAAAACTAATCGAACAGTGACTCCAAGTACTCAACTATAACAAATTATTTAATTATCTATATCAAATTGATTTCAGGAACCTTTAAAACCTTATACATAAGTGAATCTATTTGCCTCCTTCCGACTGTAAGTCATCAGGATCAGTCCCATCTTTTAAATTGATTTCCCCCAAGAATTTTAAAGCTGATTGCTTAAATATTAAATATAATATTTTATTTAGCTAAGTCTTGACCAGCATTGAGAACTTGGTATGTGTAAGGCACTGAGGACTTCAGTACGCTATCTGGTGTAAGTCCTTACAACAACCCTACTAGATATAGGTACTCTTGTTTTCCATGCCTTTATGATTAAAAACTATAGTTTAAATGGGTAATTTGTACTAGGTCACAGAGATAGTAAGTGCCAGGTCCAGGATTTGAGCAAGCATTCAATACTTTATATGTATTACCTCAAGGGTGGGTGCGGTGGCCCACACCTGTAATTCCAGCACTTTGGGAGTCCAGGGTGGACAGATCACTTGAGGTCAGGAGTTCAAGACCAACCTGGCCAACATGGTAAAACCCTATCTCTATTAAAAATACAAAAATTGGCCAGGTGTGGTGGCGTGTGCCTGTAGTCCCAGCTACTCCAGAGGCTGAGGCAGGAGAATGGCTTGAACCTGGGAGGTGGAGGTTGCAGTGGGCCAAGATCGCACCACTGCACTCCAGCCTGGGCAACAGAGCGAGACTCCATCTAAAAAAATTTTTTTAATTTAAAAAAAAATTTTAAAAATTTAAAAAAAAAAATATATATATATATAACCTCAAATTAAATTTTTTAAGAAGATAAAGTTCAAATAAAACTTAGGCAGTGTGATTCTGAGGCCTAAAGTTTTATTTGTACCTTATTGCATATAAAGTATCTCATGCTTGTCTCAGAGTAGTTGTTCAAAAAATGATAGTTTTTTTCTCTTCTGATAAATTAAAAGATGATTATGTAAAAACCAGTCACATGGGCATTGTAAGGGAACATACTCTACTCTCTAAACCTATCTGAGCTTTTACATCCCTTGTTTCATTGTTGTTGACCGTCTTATTTTCCTTTGAGAGGATGTTCCCACATACAAGAAATAACAGAATATCAGAAAAGGGTGCAGAATAGTAGGTTTGTCTGGTTTCAAAGTTCAGTTTACTTTTTCACTAATGATTTATCTTATCAAAAAACAAGTTACTTTGTAAAGGCATCTGTCTGAAATTTTAGGTGTTTCTTTTGTCACTGTGTATATTTGTTTAATATCTTGAGTAATAAACATTTGTCATTTTTAGATTTTTTTTAAAGTCACCTTTGCAGTTTGAGTGTGAATTAATTTGATGTCCAGTATCTTAAGATCCAAATAACTCACACACAATTTTACTAATAACTTGCACACAGTTTTACTAATGCATACATTTAGAAAGTCAGTAGGTCAAATATTTTCTGATTGTTATTACATGTAGCAAAATCCTACTATAACACAGTTTACCATTATTTTCTTCCTTAACATCAGCATTATACAGGGGTTGGTTCTATTATTATGTTTAAAAAAATGCTTTAAAGATATTTAAAGCTCTGTATTTCATGCAAGCATTGTTCATCTTTTTAAAAATAGGTAAATCAACAGACTGGGAAGATGATGGTTGGGGAGCATGGGAAGAAACCGAATCCCAAGAACCTGTAAGTCTTTCCACATGTATGCATGTTTTTTGATAGTGGTATTTTCCTTTTGTAATGATGGTGACATATTTCAGTGTCAGGTTGACATTTTAAAATCTATGTCAAGAACATATTTGTGCTTACTTAATAGTACCGAACTTGATACGTCTTCTTGAAGAACTTAATGACATTGTAGCTAAAGCAGGTGTCTTCTTTGTTCCTTTTGTGTTGTTATAACAATACCTGAGACTGGGTAGTTCATAATGAATGGAAATTGATAGGCCCACAGTTCTGGATGTTGGGAAGTCCAAGATCAGGGACCAGCATCTGGCAAGGAACCTTCTTGGTGCATCATAACTTGGTGAAGGTGATAAGACCTGAGGGTTGTGGAGAGGGTGGGAGGAAAGAAAACATGGGCCAAACCCTCTTTTTATAAGAAATTCACCCCCACAATAATGAACTGACTCCCTCATTAATGGCATTAATCTATTCATTCTGCTCTCATGGCCTAATTACCTCTCATTAGGCCCCACTTCCCAACACTGTTCCATTGGGGATTAAACTTTGAACACATGCTTTTTGGAGGCACATTCGAACCATAGTAGTGGGCTAAATGGAGAATAATTCTTTTAAGAGTCTTTATTTTTCGTAAGTTATTCTTTTACTATTCGCTCAAATATTTGCTGTACCTACCATATTCTAGGCACTTTTCTAGGTGCTGAGAGTATAGCAAAGAACAGGGTAGACAAAGTTCATATATGTATGTTAGTATGTTTTCACAAATGAGTAATAGAAAATCTAACTTAAATTGATTGGCTTAAATACAAAGAAATTCACTTACATAAAAGGAAGTCTAAAGATAGAATGGACTCCCAGGTTGGTTGATCAGGCACTTCAAATATGTCAAGTTCTTTCCTTCTGTCTGCTTTCTATATGCAGCGTTGACTTCATCCTAATGCCTTTTTCACTCACAGATGTAATAGGCAACATGTTTCTTCATTAACGGATAGAGAGAGAAGAAGACTGAGGCTTTTCATGACTCTTCTAGGAATTAGGGAACTACTTTCTTAGATGTCTCTAGCAAACCTTTCCTTATATCTTCTTGGTCAGGATTGGGCCACATGCTCATTTCTGAACTAATCGCTGGCAAGGGATATGAGATATTCATTCTTGAATCATATTATTCCTTGGAGTTGGAGGATAAAAGGGTCAGCTTCTCTTGAGGCCTGTGGCCACACAGGAGGAGTTAATATCTGAACAAATCCAGGTTATTTTTTTAAAGAAAGAAGAATTAATATTAGATAGGTCTTCTTACAGCCCTATTTCTGGGAGCTTATACTCCATGAAAGGGAGACATAATAAAGAAAGATGGATGAAAAGTATCAAGTGATGGTAATAGGTATGCAGAGAATTCAAATAGTAATGTGATAGCAAGTGATCAAGTGACTGTTGTAGATTGGGTGGTTAAGGAAGTCTTTTCAGAGGATGTCACAGTTAAACTGAGATCTAAAAGGCAACATGGAGTCAACAACGTGAAAATCTGACAGAGAGCATCTAGGCCAAGATAACAGCTCATGCAAAGTCTCAAGGCAGGAATGGGCTTGGGAGTTTGAAGGAACATAAAGAAGGCCAGTGTGATATAGCAGGACTGAGATTGTTACAAGATGGGGCAGAGAAAAAAGCAGGCCAGATGTCAAGTTTTGTGAATTTGGTGTTTATTCTGAATGCAATAGAAAACTACACTTAACCTGATTTCTGACTTTGACAGCTCACCTTGGCTGCTGCTTGCAATAGGTTGAAGTTGGGAGCAAAAGTAGAAACCGGGAGACCAATTACAAGACTGTTGCAGTAGCTTAGTTAAGAGATGATTGTGGCTTCGACTAAGGTGGTGTATTAGTGAAAATGGGTAATGGATGGATTCTGGATAATTTTCAGAGGTAATGATAAGACTTTCCAGTGAGCTGGTTATGAAGGATGAGAGGAAAGTGAAAAATCAATAACTTCTTTGATCTGGGGTATGGTGTGAAACAGATAAAACATGATTGTTGAAAGACTGATATTCTCAAAAGGTGAGTAATAGATATTATTCTCTTTACTTTTGTCAATATTTGAAAATATCCATAATAAGAAGTTCTTAAAAAACCTTCCCAGGTATTTGGCTTGAATAACCAGAGGGACGTTGTGTCATATTGAGTTGGGGAAGATGAGGAAAAGAACAGCTTTAGCAGAGAAATGAGAGAGCATCATGTGCTAGGAAGTAGAGATATGCTCATGTAGTAGAGATTTATGGAAAAACTCCATAAGGAAATTAAGAACAGGAAACCATTTCAGAAGACCTCAAGGAGAATTAGGATGTGTTGAATAGGATAAAATGCAGCTCAAGGAAGTTGATTACCCCAGCACCTCTGTGAACAATACCTGGTCCTCTTCTTTCCTAATGCTATATCAAAATGGAGCCTCAGCTACTCTCTCTCTGCTCTTACTAAGACTGACTGCTTTCTGCTTACTCAGGATTTCAACTATTTCATGGCTTTGGCTATGTCTCTTGTCTGTGGTTGTCTTAGATTCTTTCTCTTTTTTTGTTTCACATTCAGAGGTCCTATGAAGATTTTACTGAGTCTGTTGATTGCAACCTAATATAGGTTATTTGGGGAGGGGGACATAGTGTTTATACCAGGCCACTTGATGGGACATCAGCAGATGTATTAATGCTACCTCCTTGTCAGACATTCATCAGCAGTTTAATTAGCTATGGCAAGAATGAGGAGGGGAGGGGAGGAAAGGAAACGAAAGGAGAGGAGAGGAGAGGGTTTGTATAAACAAGCTTGGAGATTCTTCATGACTCTGTGAAACTTTTCAGAAAGGGGTGTGCTTTGAGAATTTCCCAGAAAGCGATAGTGTAACTAGCAGTTACTTTACATGTGGTATTTGGTACAGTTGCTTTTAGTATTTGCTTTCTGGAGTCATGTAGCTGAGTTACCATTGTAAATAATGTAAGAGACTTCCAAGTAAGTTTGAGGTTCACTGGACTAAACCTCACAGCCATTGCATGTTAAAGTGGTCACATGCATTTATAATTTCAGAAGAGGTTCCAGTATGGCAGTTACTATCAAATATATAAAATTGTGCTAGTGTTGAGTTATAGTATATTTGTTTCGGATCCAGATGGCCACATCTTAAAGAGCCCACTGGTACATACTTGGCTTTTTCTATAATGGATTTTTGTTAATATTTGTGAATGACATAGTTAGGCATTTGTGTGAGAGGCTAGTTGTCCTTAAAGATACCTGCTGATTCTTTCCTGATAGTATTAAGTGCGTTAGTTTAGTCATAATGTGCCACAGACTTGCTTTTTGACTTGTTGAAAATGTGCCTTCCTAAGGGTGCTCTACTTTATGGCATTATAACCTAAGGAGTAGAAAAGAAGGAAAAGGTGCTACAAAATGGGGTCAGAGAAGCAAGCAGGACTGATCTGATACAAGGCTTTGTAAACTTTGAATTTATTCTAAATATGATCAGAAACCACATTATCTGATTTCAGGTTTTTTAAGCTTACCTTGGCTGCTCTGAGGAATAGGTGTAGGTAGTTTTTCTTTTTTTCTTAATTAGCTATACTTCTCATACTCTTGAGGGTCATGGGCCTCTTTATTTTGCAGTATTTCATTTTGATGTGCTACTGTTGTGGCTGATTCTAAGTGATATGGACAATGATATTGTAGTTAGAATGCATAAATGTTAACACACTTCCTTTAAATCTGACCTGTAAAGCGTGTCGTCTTTTTATCAGCAAGGATATACTAAATCTAGAGGTAACCTAAATCTAGGGATCTCTAGGGATAAATCTAAGGATCTTTTAACTGATGTAGTTAAAAGCTGAAAGATGCTTCTACTCATTCTAAAAACACATAAAAATACTGGCATTTAGAAGATTATTTCATCTGGATAAAATTTGAATATTTACAAATGGCCCTAATGGATGAGAGTGGCTTGGTGTTCTTTGTCTTGATAGATTTGCTCATGTTGTGACTTGACAAACAGAGCAAGTGAAACAGTATTGATATACCTCATTCACAACAATTTGGGGTATACCAGTTACTCCTAGGTGTTCTTATTATACACCTTTGAACCCCTGTACCTTGTCATGGGTCCCATGTATATGGTGAGGGAGAATGCATTTGGGTGACAGTAAAAGGAGGCAGGGATGATGAAGTTCAGAGGTTACCTGGATGTTCAGGTTATCCTGTTTGTTCAAGAGAGCTTCTTTGAATTTGGACCCTTTCCTTAAAATAAGACATCTTTGCTAAAGGATACTAGTGGGTGGGAACAAAAACGTCACTATGGCTAGGGTGAGGACTATGACCTCTCCCTTGAACAGCAGCATCAACCAGAACCTTCCATGTATAGTACTACTATGAAGTTTTGCTGAGCAAAATGTTTTATACCAGAACTATTAGAAATCTACTGAGCTGAGGTAAGAGACTCCTATTTCTACTACCATCTATGATTATGAACAACTCCAGAACTATAGCCAGCTCCAAAGGCAAGAATTAGAATAAATTTTGTCAGATGTGTGAAATGTAAAAGTATATGCTCTAATTGCCTAGTTAGAATGTAAAGGGGTGGAAAGAGAACCTTTTACTCTCTCTTATTAGGAACAGATATCAAACTGAAAACCTACCTCCTCTTGAGAGTCCAACTGAGTCTTGTCCACATTAAAGATAAAACCAGGATTGGAAGAAGTAGAATGTCTTGAAGTCAACTTACACTTGCGTCAAGGCATTATAATTATAAAAACAATTATAGATGCCAGATGTGGTGGCTCACACCTGTAATCTCAGCACTTTGGGAGGCCGAGGTGGGCAGATCACTTGCGGTCAGGAGTATCAGACCAGCCTGGCCAACATGGCAAAACCCCATCTCTACTAAAAATATAAAAATTAGGCATGGTGGTGCATGCCTGTAATCCCAGCTACTTCGAAGGCGGAGGCAGGAGAATTTCTTGAACCTGGGAGGGAGGTTAC